AAAAAAAAAAAAAAAAAAAAAAAATTAGAATTAAAACCTTAAAGATAAAATATCAGTCAGTGAGATGAAGCATATAAAAGTGAAAATCATGTACTTTTTGGATCTCCCCCAAACCCCATCTGGGCTGTTTCTAACAATCTGCCTCCTCCTGAGTTCATGTCATTTTCCTCATCTAGGAGTGGACATTCCACAGAGGGAGAGGCTGGGAGGAGAACGGCATCTCCCTGGGCAATGGATCATGAACTGAAGTTATCTGTACACTATGGCTCCTTTGTATCTACAAGACCACAAAATCATTAAATTCTGCCATTACCCTTGTGATCAACTGCTTCTAAAACTTAAAATACAAATGTCCACTGGGAATTATTTTAAGGTTTGTTTTTTATTAAAAAATATTTGTCATAAAACACAGATCCCAGAGTCACAGTTATCAAATTAACTTAGAATTAATTTGAGTTTGTTATTCAATTAATTTTACATGAAGGAAAATTAATGTTTTTCAAATATCTCATAAAAACTTTTAATATTCTATATGTATTAGATGCCCACATTTTTTTTTCTGAGTTCTATGCGGTAAAATTCTAAAGAGCAAAAGTGTTGTAGAAAACTAAACCTGCATGACATCATCTTATACCCAAAGGAGCCTTGCCCAGCTCTGCTCACACTCCTGTCTCAGTAAAGAGCCTAGAAAATTGAATGGTAAAGTATAGGTAACACACATGCCTGCCTGTCTGGGAAAGCCTCCAGAGACAAGAAAGATCTAACATCAAGAGGTCCTCAATCCCCCCTCAATTTTTGTCATTTAAGAAAACAACCTAATATGATTTAAAAATTTAAAATTAAAAAATATTTCAAACTTCAGATTCATGAATCTGAAGACTCACACAGAGTCACAGATGGAGGAGAGGGAAGGGGAAGGGAAAGGGGAGGGGAGAAGGGGAGAGGGGGGGAGGGAGGAGGGGCAAGGGGAAACCTTCTAAGCACAGGACACTGAGTGGGAGGCACTGATGCAGATGTTGCCCCAGGCCATGCACTGACTGTTGAGGGCAAGGACTCAATGCAGGGCTTCACACCTGCAGCCATCCAGCAGCACAACAGTGCAGCTGCAGCCTTGCAGCTCAGAACACATTAAACAGCAGGCTCAGCAGCTGCAGGCCATCTAATTAACCTGGGTTTTCTACATCCACTGAGCTGTAGAGGCTCAGCTCCAGTGACAGCAGGGCTTACACTCTTCAGCCTGCAAGTGACTTCAAGGACATTAAACTGACAGGAAACCCAAATCATGCTTTAGATAAGCTGGGAGGGCCTCTGCATCTCGCACTCACTTCTGATCTTCTTCTGCCATTTCATCTCGTTGTAGAGGTCCTCTGTCTGCTGGAAGAAGTCGTTCACCTTGCTTCCCTGCTCATCCTTCTCTGTGGTGTTGAACACGCGGTACTTGGACTCCCGAGTGAGGAACTCGCAGATGTTGGGGACGGGGAAGACAATCTGCTCCATCGTCCTGTCCTGCCGCACAATCTGGAAATGATCGGCATTTGTTTTCAGCCATTGGCACACCTCAGTCTTGGACTCGATTTTGAACTTCCTTTTTCTTAATGACTACATTTTGTTCTTTGACAATTTCATACATGCATATAATACATTTTGGACACCACCACTGCCACCCCATTATCCCCTTCAGCCCCCGATACCTGCTTCTTCCTTACAGATCTCTTTCCTGTTTTCATTACTCTCTGGTTTGGGTTGTTCCCCCACAGATTTTGAGTAGATCCCTCTTCGTGACTTCCAGGTTTGAACTATCCAGAAGCACCTGGTGAGCTCACTAGTGGATATACAACTGGATTCCACGCCTCCCTAGTTTTTGGTTTCAGGATAAGTTTCCTAGTTACCTCTAATTGCCAATTTGACACAGCCCAGAGTCATCTGGAAGGAAGGCTCTGTTGAGGAACCCCCTCCATCTGACTGGCCTGTGGGCATCTTGATGATTAATTGATGTAGGAGGATCAAGCCCACCATGCCAGCACCATCCCTAGGCGGTGGTCTTGGAATGTGTAAGAACGCTAGCTAAGCATAAGCCCAGGGCGCCTGCAGACAACATTCTTTCACAGCGTCTAGTTCAGGTTCCTGCTGTAATGTCTCCCAGTGCTATGACCTGCAGATGGAAACCAAATAAATCCTTTCCTCCCCAGGTCGGTTGTGGCAAGACTGTTTTATCATGGGAACAGACATGAAACTAGGACAATGAGTTTATGAATGATAATCCAATTATGAAAAAAATGAACCAGCTGAGTGACCTTGAACCTAGATCTTAAGAATTTGTGCCCTGTTCTCCCTAAGAGGGGCTCTGGGAAACAGGTAACACACTTGGTAGCTAGCACTGTGTGTCCTGAGTTCTCTATATACAGAGAGGTATTTTATCTCTATAGTGTTTCCTACCTGCAGTTTGGTGGTGAGTGAGCAATGCCCCTCATGGGCTTGTGTATTTGAACGCTTGGTCCCCAGTTGGTGGCAGTTTGGGGAGGTTGTGGAACCTTTTGGAGGTGCAGCCATGCTGGAGAAGTGTGTCACTGGGGGTGGCTTTGGGGGGTTATAGCCTTGCTTTCTCTCCCCAACCCTCCTGCATATGAATAAAAACTGACCAGCCAGCATCAGGCTCCTGCCACAGTGCCATGCCTCCCTGACTGACAGACTCTCCCTCTAGAACCTTGAGCAAAACAAACTGTCTCCCCTCTAAGCTGGTTCTGATCCTGGAACTGGAGGTGTGGGTGGCTGTGAGCTGCCCCATGGGTCTGGGACCCGAATACAGGCCTCTGCGGCAGCAGCCAGCGCTCCTAACTACTGGGTCACCTCTCAGCCCCTTGTGTGCTAACTTTAAAAAACAACTAGAATATCAATTGTACTAACTACTTAGATATATTTGGTATGGTAGGAACCACATGAAAAGAATTTTAAAAGGTTTACTTGCTCCAACAGTGTCAAGAATTTTTAAAATTCTTAGGGCTTACTAAAGAAAAAAGCTGTGATTAGATAAGCCAAAATATTCAGTCCCTGCATAAAATGACATGTTTAATTCTGGTTGTCACATTTTACAAAGAGCAATGACAAACCAGAGAAACTGCTGAAGGAAATGCATTAACTGAAGGAAGCCAAATATGGTTAATTTTCCCCCAGATTATTCAACAAATGCTTACTCAGTCATTAGCTAAGAGCACTGTGGTACTGAAAGTGAAGAAAACATGAGGATCCCAATATAGAAGGAATTGGATTTAGAGTCATGGTGTTATTTAAATGTTAGTATTAAGGACTGAGAAGATGGCATGATGGTTAAGACACTTGCCATGCAAATATGAGGCCAGAGCTCGGATCTCCACAAACCCACTAAGCGCTGGGTGGGTGTGCCAGCCTCCCTGTAATTCCAGCCTCAGAAGGCAGAGCCAGGGGATCCTCGGAGCAGGCTGTTTAGCAAGACTGGCTGTGTCAGTGGACTCTGGGTTCAACTGAGCGAGCCTGCCTCTGTGAATAAGGTCAGCCTTGGGCCTGCTCCTGTGCAAATGAACATGACCACACACACACACACACACACACACACACACACACACACACACACACACACCTAAGCTATCACCCCAAGGGGAGCAAACACTGGAAATGGTGGATAATTACAATGGTCTACTATGACCTCTTTACAGATATGTAGTCTTTCCAGTGACCAACTGATTAAAATTGAATGTGCTTTCTTTTGAAGAAGCGAGACTCGTGAGAGGAGCTGAAAGTGAGATTTGGATCATGGGAAATTCTTTCTTGGATGGTGATTAGGCGTAAGCCCCTTCTCATTTCCCAGGGTCCTTAAACTGATCACAAGCTATTGTTCTCATCATCACATGGGTTCTTGCCAGTCTAATCTGACACAAGCTGCTGCGGCATGTTGCTGTTTACATATGTGAGCACAAGGTCAACTTTTGACGTGAAGTGATATTGCTTAATAATGCTCAAAGATTTGGCAAAAATAAATAATAAAGCATAGAAAGTACCCACCATAGAGCAATGCTGCCTCTGATATATTCTGCTAAAACCAAAACCATCTCCCAGAATGAATGAATGTGCTATCATAAATCAGAAGTGACATCTCCCAGAATGAATGAATGTGCTATCATAAGTCAGGAGTGACATCTCCCAGAATAAATGAATGTGCTATCATAAATCCGGAGTGACAAGTATCCACCACTCTACTCACTTCTCCCTGATTAGTTCTGCCAAGAAGCATCAAAAGATATCCCAGCTAGAAGTGACAGCCAGATGGGTCCCTGGAACACCTGATCTGCCATCGGACATTAGGTCAAGTCTCATTTGTGGGGCAGGGTGAGGGTAGCTGTCAGGCAACCGAAGTGCAAACAGCTAACTTTTGAGGATATGATACCAATATGAAAATTCTGTTAGTGCTGCCCATGTTCTCCTCACTTTCACATACTTCTACTTTGCTTTTTTTTTTTTTTTAAAGCAAGGTCTTAATACGTAGCTCTGGCTGGCCTGGAACTTGCTAAACCAGACTGACCTGGAACTTACAGAGATCTGCCTGCCCCTGTCTCCTAAGTGCTGGGAGTAAAGACATGCACCACCAGACCTGGCTTCAAATACTCTGTTAAGTCATGATCTCGATCATAAGAAGCCTCCACGGGTTTAAGGCACAGATTCTCTAATAATTATGTTGTCTCTAAAATGTCACTGCTCTCCCTGATCGCTTCTGTGACCCAAATGAGAGAAAAAATTTACTCTCTCCATTTCAAAAACCATCAGACGAGTTCCGGTGAGAGAAAAGACTTCACCAGATGGACACCTGGTTTCTACACATGTCTCTTAGGCATCAGCTTGTCAGACAGACTTTTCCACTTAAATCATCAAGTATTATTTCACTGTTCTGAGAAAAGTCATGGAAATGGCCTCAGATATAAGCAAACACATTATTTCACAGTTGGGCCCATTCTAAAAATAACAAGCAGGTACCTCGATCTGTGCGGTGTGATTGGCGTAATACTTCAAGGCTTCGTCCCCTTCTTCAGGATCGGATCCAGGTTTGAGCATCTGCTGTAGTAGTTTATTGTGTCGGGCCAACTGCAGGGAAGAGAATGAAAGGGTTAATGTCTCTTCCCCTTCTCTAGGGATGAGACTTTGAAGTTACTCTGTCCATTTGTGCTTGTGTCTTTCATAGTCCTGGGTTGACAGTAATTAGCCACATTCCAGAAAGGTATGTCTACATTTGAAAAGCACAAATAATCCATGCATAAGACTCAGTCATTCAGCTGGGCAGTGGTGGTGCACGCCTTTAATCCCAGCACTAGGGGAGGCAAGGCAGGCGGATCTCTGAGTTCAAGGTCAGCGTGGTCTACAGAGCAAGTTCCAGGACAGCCAGGGCTACACAGAGAAACTCTGTCTTGAAAAACCACACACACACACACACACACACACACACACACACACACACACACACAATCAGTCACTCACATTTGTTGGATAATCCCTATCTTCAATGAATGTATGGTTGTGCCAAGGAGAAGAAATGTTGACAGTGGCACCGAGGAGGTGAAATTCCTTGAGATGCCTTTAAACCACACATGCATGTAAATGAATGTGACCCGCAGGGCAGTGGGCAGTAGAAATAATACAAAGGCTATCTTCCTGTAGACACATAAATAGGGCTCTGCATTACAGAAGGCTTTCTCTTACTGTACCGAATCCCAGCCCTACAATAGCAGTTTTTATTAACCTATACTTCTGCACATTACCAGGTCAAAACTGGTGCTTTATGGGCACCGATTTCAATTTCACTGTATTTGAACTGGGCATTTAAAAACCAACAATCTCATGATAAATAATTTCTTTTCATGTGTACATGTATGTATGTATTTGTGTGGAGGTCAAAGGTCAATATCAGGTGGGCCTCTATTGTTCTCTATCTCATTTGTGAGGACAGGATCTCTCAGAAAGTGTAGAGCTCACCAACTGGCTAGGCTGACTAGCCAGAAACCTCCAGGGAACCTGCTGTATCCACTCAGCACTAAGATGCTTAACTGTGTATGTGAGTACTGGGTGTCTGAACTCAGTTCCTCATTGCTGTGGTGCCTAGCTGTATACATGAGTACTGGGTGTCTGAACTCAGTTCCTCATGCATACCAGCTGAGCACTTCTCCACCCTATCTGTAAGTCATTGGAAGCTGCTTTCTGTCAGTCAGTAGAAGAGATCATTCTCATTTAAACACTGAAGGTAATTGTTGGGTATTTCTCTCACTCTGTAGATAATTAATACACATTCCCTTTGAATATCATTTTTATAGATGACTGGAGCAGTTCCTGAAACCTTGCAATGTCCTTAACCTTTCCAATGCAAATGTTCTATTTGTGCCCCAAGTTCCCTGGGGCTTCTAATGAGTCTCATGTGTCACATGAACCACCACTCCTGGAGGGGTCTGGCTCCCCCTGCAAGGCTTTTAAGTACAAAATCTCATTAGATCCTACTCAGAAATCCTGGGGTAGACACTCTCATCCTTCCATTTTACAAATAAAGAAACTGAGGCACAGGGAGTGTGAATGTGCCTATAATCACAAAGGTGGTCAGTACTGACTTCAGACAGTTCAGCTGCAGAGTCAGTATTTTGTTGGTGTTACAAGGCTGTAAACATATCATCGTGTTTTCCATAAAGTCTTAATATAAATGGGACCATAAAGAATCAACACCAATTCAAGCAATAATCCAGACCTATAAAAGCAAGTCAACCTCCTAGGAAGTGAAAGTTTGATCAATTAAATATTCATTCCACTAAGTCCAGAACAAATCATTTTTGAAATGATTATTTTAGAACTGCCTTTCAGGGTCATTTATGGACCATGCCAAAAAAAAATGATGTCTTGTTTTACTTACATTTTATATTCAACTAAATGTGAGTTATATAGATTTTTATGATCATCCTGAGTCATGAAACTTGCTTTGACTTGTGGGTGTTTCTCAAAGTCTAAATGAATTAAAAAGGGAAGTTGCTGTAATCCCTGGGCATCTTAACAACGGGCAAGAAGTGGGCAGTTCTAGGTTGGCACTGACATGATTCATAAGCTGGGCTCAGGAAGAAGAGGTAAGGGCATGCTATAGCTTTGAACCTGAGTCCTCCAACAGCTTATGCTGAAGCTGGAGGTTCAATGGGAAGGTGAGGGAACCTTTAGGAGGCGGGGCATATAGAAGGACATTGGGTCATTGGGGATGTGCCCTAGAAGAGTATATTGAACTCTCTGCCTCTCCTTTCTTGCTCTTTTCTGCTCCCTAGATGACATGGTGGACAATCACAATCTCCCCTGTTCCCTTCAAGGCCATGCTGTTGTGTAGTAAAGCCATGACCACCAAACTCTGAAGCCACGACCACTAAACTCTAGAGCCACAACCACTAAACTCCGAAACCAGCATCAGAACAAGCCCTCCCTCCTCATAAGCAGTTTGCCTCAGCTATTTTGTCGGCTATTAAACATCTGCTCAATGTAAGTCCAGAATGATTGAATGGAAGGTTAGGAATGCCAATAACTACAACACAAAGCAGAAATACAGCAGGAAGAAGATCAAAACTTGGCTTTTGGAAACCCAGAGCGTGTAGTGTCACCATGAAGGAGACCAAGTGGGTTGCAGCATTATTTTGTCAAAGCTCTGGGAAGAGGCCAGGCCTGGAGCAACAACCAAGGAGCATGGGTGCAAATGTAAGCCACAAGAGGCCATTGCCTTGGAACAGGCTCCTGCCCTGGCACCAACAGAGCAGTGTGAACACCACAGACAAGTTCCAGATCACCGAGCTGTGCTGAGTGGTCTGACCTTCCAGCAGATCAGCAGAGAGCTCATGGGCCAAGTTCTCACCAAGGCTGGTGCCAGTGGGCATTAATAATAACAACAACAATATTAACAATAACTTCAATCTTTACCCGAAATGAGCCTGAAGTAACAGCATGTCAATCAATCAGACATTTCTCCACCCCGACTCGCTCCCTTTAGTCAGCTCCTCAGAACCCTTAATCCAAAGTAGTCTATTTCCAGACTCAGTTCCCAGCACCCACAGGGCAGCTCATGACCATCTGCAACTCCAGTCCTAGGTCATCCAGCACCTTCTTCTGGCCACAGCAGGGACTGCCTGGACTGGGTGCACAGACAGTCATACAAGCAAAATACCCATACACATAAAATATTAAAAGTGTATGTATATATACTCATAAAATACAAAACATGTCTAACACAAACCTTCTACACAAACATACATAACCATCAACAGGGTCCTGTACAATACTATATAATTTTAAATCAAAAATTGGGAAATGAAGACAGACCACAAAGTTCCTAACTCCAGTAACCATGAAAAATGTTTGTTCATTTTTATCTTCCTATCATTAGGATTTTGTTTTGTTTTGTTTTTGTTTTTC